AAAAAAACTAACTAACTAAAAAAACAACATGGACAACTACAGAGAATAACGAAAGTAAAAACGTATTCAGGAAACGTTGTCATAGTTTTAGGGAAGTTTGACAGTCTCTTGGATTAAGGAAGCTAGGTGTTGGTATAATATTAAGAGACGTGTTATTGATATATATATAACAAATTATAATTGTCAAAAATGTTTTTGATTTTTGTTCATGTGGAGAGTGTGGTGTCTTATTTAATGATACCCCTATGTGTTGCACTTACAGCGTTTCCAGCCGGAATTCTTCAGCCCCCGTTTTTCAGTAAAGATTTTCCAAAGTAAGCGAATGTTTTTGTCACCGACATTGTTTATGCTTACTGTTTACTTTCTTTACAGGACATAATGTTACATTGTTTTACGAAACTAAAATTAACAACGGATTTAAGGTAAAACGCTACTCCTTCTTCCACCACACTCTCCTCACCCCCCTCCCCCCCCCCAAAGCCCCTTGAAAACTCCACTTTTGGTCTTTCTGACCCTCCTTTACAGCAGAGCAAGTCTAAGGAGAGAGGGGAGAGAAATAGAGAGGGGGGACAGGAAGGGAGAGAGGCGAGGTGGAGAGAGAGACCTTCAGGCACACAGACAGGGATAGAGAGGGGAGAGAGAGAGAGAGAGAGGAGAGAGAGAGAGAGAGAGAGAGAGAGAGAGAGAGAGAGAGAGAGAGAGACCTGCAGGTACACAGACTGACAAATAGACAGGTAGGCGGACAGATCGACAGGCAGACAGGTAGGCAGAACTGGCACGACTCTGACAGGAATATTGCTATACCTGGAGGTGTCATCTCTGACTCAGATGTTGCTGTATAATGACCCTCCATCATTCACGCTGCACATTCTGCTATACCCAGGCCAGTCCATGTTTTCATGTCGTCCATCCACGCCACTCTTTGTCTCCTCTGGCTCTCCGGTCCCCCATCCTTTCTTCAAGCACCCCTTTTTCTCAATGGTCCTATATCGTTTTAATTGACCATAGTATTGTATTTTCCTAAATGTTATTCTATTACTATATGATTCGTCTTATTACAACACTTTAATAAGGGTCTCTTGTATCTGAAAAAAGTTGTCATTCTTGTCCAGGTCCCTTAACTATGGAGGTATTGGCATGGTGATAGGACATGAAATAACTCATGGCTTTGACGAAAGAGGTACGTATATATACTTGATCGTGTACACACACACAGAGAGAGAGAGAGAGAGAGAGAGAGAGAGAGAGAGAGAGAGAGAGAGAACGAAAGAGAGAGAGAGAACGAGAGAGAGAGAGAGGGGGAGAGAGAGAGAGAGAACGAAAGAGAGAGAGAGGGGGGGGAGGGAACTAGAGAGATATATATATAGAGAGAGATAGAGAGAGAGAGAGAACGAGAGAGGGAGAGCGAGAGATAGCGGAGGAGGGGAGGGGAGGGAGACGTCGACAATGATGACCACAATGTAAAGAAGGAAATCAACATGTTTCAACAGGTGCCTTGTCATTGGTCTGCATCATATCATGGTCCTCTGAAGTTGTGCAGGGAAAAATGATTTGTAAACCCAAGTTTTCCTTATCAGAAGCTTATGCTGGGTCGTGATTTCCACTTACTTAAAGTAATAAGTTAAGGCAACTTAAGAAAAGAGCTGAAAACTGAAGGAACCCTGGAATATCCAACCAGCTGATAAGTGGCACGATCAGCAAGCCATCCGTTTCATGGGTTCTGGAGAGGAGGGAGGAGCAGCTATAGCATTGTACCTATTCTCCACCCAAGTAACCAGTAACTGAAGAGAATCAATAATTATACAGTAAAAGCAACCCGATGAGTTGTGGCTATGAGTAGTTACTGCAAAACATGATTGCACCAGGGAAGGAAATCACCCTATAAGAGCCAATTCCACGTATTAAGGTTTTAACGAATTTTTCAGAAGGAACAAAAAACTGATTAATGCAGGTGTGTATGAATTTTCGACACACTGGAAACGATCAAGCCTTAAAAGCATATCATATGATACGCGATTTGGGGATTCTTGGCTTTACTATCGGTTCCGTTGTAATTTTTGTTTCAACATCCAAGTTGTAACAAAATCGAATTGAAATCTATTCCGCACATCACAAGACGAGCTAATTTAGAAGCAAAGAGCTATGATAAGTGAAACAGTCATTTGCTTTTTATAGCGATTTTAAGGCGGGGAACTCAATGAAACTTATACAGAAATGAAACCCATGATACGCTCTTTCGATTGGAGAAAAAAAATTCGCGCCAAAATCATGACACGCGGATCTGGCCCTTACAGGACGAAATGTCAATGAATCCTATAAACATTATGCTTTTCTCAGGTAGACAGTACGACAAGACCGGAAACCTGGAGCAGTGGTGGAGCGACTCCGCTATCCAAAAGTTTATAAATAAGACACAGTGTATGGTGGACCAGTATAGTGCTTACGTCATGGAGGAGGCCGGGATGAATGTGAGTGTGCTTGGTGGAGGTAACCCAAGCCTATCTGACTCTCATGTTTCAACTTGATTATGAACCGGGAGTAGGCCTAAGCCATTGTGGAAAAGAATGCCCTAAAATGTAAAATTTGCTAACAC